CTCATTAGATTAATATACGTTGCTCAAATGCAGATTTTCTTGTGCGCTTAAAATAAACACTGCCGAAGTGCAATTTTGTGTGTTTATGTATTGAGTATGTCTCCAACATTTATTAGATTGGCTTTTTTAATATATGTTGTTGCGTTTTTTTTTAATTATTTTTTATTATTATTATTTTTATTTTTATTTTTTATAACCTGAAAAAAAAAAAAATGACTGAATGTTTTGAATAAGAAGCTGTAATGTAGCCGTAGTGGGGTGAATTTAGTGTGGCGCCCCACCATGGAAGAATGAATGAAAACATTATCTAAATCAATTTTACATAGATATAAATATAAATGAAAACTAAATAGATTGCTGCGTGTTTTATGATATGCTGTAATAAATTTGAACATGCATTGTTTTTCTTTTACCGTGCATATGTAGACATTGTATGAAACATTAGGTCACAAAAATTTACTTAAAAGTCTTGGAAAAATCATAGAAAAGTAATGGAATTTTAGTATTAAAAATGTGTATGAACCCTGACTATGCATCATCATATTCGAAGGCTTTCTTTTGTTTGTTTGCAAGGACATAGCAATGGTGGGGTTTTCAGAAACCTTTACTTTCAAACCTGTTTTTAAATTTCCGCATTTTCATTACCAAACATGACATTGTCATGTAAACATTGTCATGGTGTTTTGTTGTTGCTTCTGATAATGTACAAATGGCCACTAATTAAGTGTGCATAAACTGTCATTTTTTTGTGTGTGAACTGTCCCTTCAAGCCCCTAAAACTCTTAAGCTCATCATTCACATTGTCTCAGGAAACTGTGATTTCATCTGTAAACATCCACTGTTGATGTTTTGTCCTCTCCCTATAGTGTAATTGTTGTTTTATGTCGTCAGACTGTAAGTGAATGGTGTTTGGTCCAGTAGATTTCAGGTTGGGATCTGCTGCTTTGGGCTCTTCTTGTCATAAAGGCATTTAGCGGTGGCCTGCTCTGCGTCCTGCACTCAATGTTCTTTCTTTGGCCTCTTTGGGTCGTTTGATGTCTGATCTCGCTGTTCTGACGTCAGTTGCTCGTGGCACATGCTGTTTCCAGAGAAACCTGAGTGACTGGACAAAAAAAAAAAAGGAAATGAGGTAAAGATAAGAGTAGCAGAGAGCCCTCAGACGGTCTTCTGGCTGTCTGTGTGGATCAGCTAGAAGATTTACAGTACAAGTCAAAGGTGACAATAGTGTGTTTGTGAGCCTCAGAGGCTGTGTGTGTGTGTGTTGGTCATCACTGTGAAGATATTATCATTAATTTAAATTCAAACTAGACAGTTATGCATTTAAACTAGGCAATTTTAGGCAATTAAACTAAATAAATATTATTATTACTTCAGTTTGTAAGCAAATCAGGAAACGTTTTGCTGTGTAATGTCTATGATATCTTATGCAAGGCAAATGTATTTATATAGCACAATTTATACACAATAGTAATTCAAAGTGCTTTACATAAACAATAATGAAATAAACAAGAAAATAAAAATGATTAAAATCATTTAAAATGATTAAAACCGATAAAACAGATTAAAATGTGTTAAAACGGGTAATAAATGAATAAAAAAGGAAAGGGGTGCAGTGGCTGAAGACTGATTCACCCTTCTTTGACTGAACTTAATTAATTGATTGAACTTAATTGATTGAACTTAATTACGATAATTGAACTTAATCACTTAACATTTCTAATTTACTTGATCCTAATGATCCGAGTGACCTGTTGTGTTGTATTCAGTGAGCATATCTGTAATTTATTAAGGTAATGTATTTAATTCCAACCTTGCTTCAACAGACTTCCTGGTAGGTTTCAAACAAGCCTGAAGGACTTCATTAGTTTCATTGGGTGTATTTAATTAGGGTTGTAACTAAACTGTGCAGGGCTGCGGCCCTCCAGGAATTGAGTTTGACATCCCTGTCCTAGGCCATTTAGTGATTTATAGACAATAGTAATACATTAAAATCTATTCTGAATGTGACTGGGAGCCAGTGTAAAGTCCTGAGGATCGGTGTGATGTACCCTGATTTTCTGGTTCTGGTCAGAGTCCTGGCAGCAGCGTTCTGGATGAGCTGTTACTGTCTGACTGTCTTTTTGGTAAGGCCATTGAGGAGTCCATTACAGTAATCCACCCTGCTGCTGATAAAAGCATGAGCAAGTCTGTTTAAGTCCTCACTGGAAACAAAGCATCCAATTCTTGCAATGTTTAATCGTAATTTTTTTAATTTATTTTTTTAATTAAAAAAAAAAAATACAGAAATATCTAATTTAATACAGTATTATTATTTTCACAAAAGTTAACAAAACCCAACAAGTCAGAACTATTAAACCCTCTGAATTATTAGCACCCCTTTTTAATTTCTTCCCAATTTTCTGTTTAATGCAGAGCAGATTTTTTTTAAACAAATTTCTAAACATATTAGTTTTAATAACTCATCTTTAATAACTGATTTATTTCATCTTTGCCACTATGACAGTAAATAATATTTTACTGGATGTTTTTCAAGACAATTCTATACAGCTTGAACTGACATTTAAAGGCTTAACTAGGTTAATTAAGTTAACTAGGCAGGTTAGGATAATTAGGCAAGTTATTGTATAACGACGGTTTGTTCTGCTCATATCGAAAAAAATATAGCTTAAAGGGGCTAATAATTTTGACCTTAAAGTGGTTTTTAAAAATTTTAAACTGCTTTTATTTTAGCAGAAATAAAATAATTAAGGCTTTCTCTAGAAGAAAATAATATTATCAGATATACTGTGAAAATGTCCTTGCTCTGTCAAACATCATTTGGGAAATATTCAAAAAAGAAAAAAAAAATTCAAAGGGCGGCTAATAATTCTGATTTCAACTGTAGCTAAATATTTCATACTATTAAATAAAATTAAATCTAATTAAAATAAATGAAATTACAGATAAGAATCAAATTAATTTAAAATATTAACTAAAACTAACATTTTAACATACTGCTAATTACTAAATTAATTACTACATTTATTATTTAAATTAAATAATAATTGAATAATGTTTAAACACTTAAATATATTAAAATACATATTAAATATTTTTCAAAACATAAATATGTTAAAATCTAAAAATAAAATATTTAAGGAAACTTTAAAATAATTTACTCAATCTAATCTAAATAGAAAACACCAAAACAAACTACTTTACAACAATAAAAATGACAGTGTTATGATGAAACAATTTCTACAACTTTATTATTTACTAAATCTAAACTATAGGCCTAAAACCAAAAACAAGTAAGACATTTAAGACAAACTGCAGACATTTTAGAAAATACAACAAAATTGCCAAAACTAAAACTGCTAAAATACAGGTAAAGATGTTACTTGTACCATCTAACTAAGCACATTTCCAGTAAGGGGAATGAAAGTTGATGTTTCACCTTAAATGACCTGGACACACATGATGTAACCTTTTAAACGCAATCTGTGCTTCCACACTGTATTTATTCTGCCATTTATAAAACATGCTTCTTTTGAAGTCTCTGTGTACATTGTCATGCCTGGCTCATAATGACCCTCCTTCACTCTTTGTTAGTCTGCAAATTAGCATCGCGTGTTCTTGAGAATTTATAAAAGGAAAAATAAATGATCTTTATGTAACAGCAGTTTTACAGCAGTACAAGCAAAAACACATCAAAAGCTTCAAAGATGACAGGATGAAGAGTGTGTGGAGAGACATCTAGTGGTCTGACTGAAGCACTGCATGCTTATTAACATTACACATTTAAAACGTGACGTTTGTTGTTTGTTCAAACTACTTATTTATAATGAGCTGAAACTAGTTCTTGGGTTTTTTTTGTGGGGACAACTTAATTTATGTTTAATCCACTTAAATAAATTAGTAAAAAAAACTAATAAGTTAACTTAATTTCTTCATGTTGTATCAACAAAGTTTGTTTGTGTGGAACTAAGCATTTTTACAGTGCAGTCAATTGATTCAAAGACCAATCCATCCATTTAGATTGTGTCTGTTTTAGGTTTGATTATTCTAGTTTTTCTAAATGTGCTTTTCATCATACATTTATTTATTTATTTTTATTTATTTATTCTGGGTATTTTATTCCTTGTATACATGTTATTGTGTTTGTTAGACAAAAAAATCATAAAATTATTAATTGTGACTTAATCTGGTCTTTTAGATAAAATTGATTGTGAAATAATCACTTTATTTAAAGAGATTTTGAAAAGATCTAAACATCTAGCATGTGAGCTAGATATCCATGTACCGCAATGGTCTCAAACTCAATTCCTGGAGGGCCGCAGCTCTGCATAGTTTAGCTCCAACTAACACCTGCTTCATAGTCTCTAGTAGCTTTGAACACCTTGATTATTTGGGTCAGCTGTGATTGATTAGGGTTGGAGCAAAACTAAAGAGCTGCGGCTCTCCAGAATTCCAGTTTGAGACCTATGGTATACAGCTTTTACAATATATTTTGTTTATTTAGAAAACAAATATGACTAAAACATGATGGCTTTTTCAATTTCTTTTTCATGATGTTCATATGTTGTTGTTTTTTTTTTTTACAACAGCAGTACCACATCTTATACTAGAAGGTCTTCAAATATGCCGAAAATGTGTCTTCATGGAGTCAGAAAAAAAAAACAGATTAAATGTCTGCTCATGTTACACATCTGTCAAATGATCTCTTTCATGTGCGAATGGGCAGTCCTGGTTTAATCAAACTGAAGATGAGATCAGTTGTTCAGTGAAGCGTCTGATTACATGAGCATAAACCGATCAGTCAATGTCCATCATTACTCGTTTACCATCAGCTCATACGCAGACCAATCACTGAAGGGAAATGAATGATGATCTGAAATCTCCTTTCAGTTGCTTTCGAGGAACAGTAGTGTCTGCGTGTGAATGTGCGTGTGAGTGTGCGTCATTATGGGATGTTCTTTTCAATAATTATAGTGTTTTGTGTGTGTTTTTTCTGCCTCCAGGCTTCCGTTGTTCCAGGCCAGTGCGTTTGCTTTTCTCGCTCCAGCCAGAGCCATTCTTTCACTGGAGAAATGGAAGTGTAATGCAACAGGTACATTTCTCACACACACACACACACTTGTATATATGGTTTGCAAGGTCTGCCTATAGGCATAATATATTTTATACTGTAAAATTTATTATAATGCCTACACTGCAAAAAAAATATGATCAATTATTCATGACAGCACATGTTTTTAGTTTATTGTAACGTATACAATTAAGTTAGAACATGATTAACTTAGTTTAATAAGCTGTTTTAAGTCAGTTTAACATAATATACGTTAAATGGACTCATGAGGTTAATTTGATTCCGCTTAATGTTAGGCAACCAGGATTTTTTAGTGTACCAGTAAACGCAACCCTAACAGAAAACCTGTGACCAATTTTGACTATCAAAAGACCCGGTTAAGTGTGATTTTTAAGCATTTTGAATTATGAGGACACATGGTATGTCCTTGTAAACCAGCTTAAATAAATATAACTAGGTCATATCTATGTTTTTATTTAATTTAAACCACACAAATGAGTACACACACACTTTAATGTGTTTAGGATACTTCCCATAGATGTAATGGGTTTCTTTTACAATGTAAATCCTCTGTGTGTCCTGCTCCAACCCTTACAGGAAACATTTTTACATTTTGTGTGATTTATGAGCTGTTTTTCTCATGGGGACCAAAGAAAAATGTCCTTACAGGGTCATAAATGACTTGTATTACTATACTTGAAGTGACATTTGGTCCTTACAGTTTAGTGAATACCAGGCAAACACACGTGCACACAGACACTTTTAACAGCAGTAATGTGATTGTGGTGTTTCTTTTCAGCTACTCTGTTTTTAAATAGCACAGAGCTGCCGCACACAGAGGACATCTGGTACCCCAGGATACGAGAGGTAAAAACACTAACAGATGTGTTTATTAAGGGGCATTTTATTAAGGAATGTTTTTTTTGAGGAATGATCACTGAAAATCTATAGAGGAACTAATAGATCCTATTCAAAAAAAGGTGATGATGAGTTTTAACCATCATCTGCATTTTAATTCCTCTAAAGTCTATAACACTTTGATTTTTAAGGGCACCTAGGTTACCCCTTTTCCAGATTAAATGTCTTTTGTGTCCCAAGAATGTTTCTGTAAAGTGTCTGCTCAAAACACCTATCAGATTATTTATTGTAGCTTTCTGAACTTTCTGTTTTATCCACCTTATTCTCAGCTGTCGAGTGGGCGCTGCCATTTGAATCTTTTTGTCTCGCGGCTTCCGGTCACATTCACTTCCATTCATTTTTTGACGTTAACAACTGCTCGTTACGCTGCTTGATGTTGCAATTTAATATTTTCTTATTATATTATGCTACTTGGTCTGTGTAGTCATGCAAACATTTGTTTGTTGAGCAAGTAGTTTGGCCATTTTCTGCCGTTTATTATTCCTAGTCATTTCTCCCATATGTGACTGAATCGGAAGTTCTAAGACAATCGCGAAAACAGGCGCACTTCCGCATTTTAGAATAAGGTCAATAGCGCTAAACAGCTTGTTGCTGTTTTTGTTTACTGGGCCTTTAAGGCTAGTCCTCCCCGCCCACTGTTCCCACCATTTTTATGTTATTAAATTGAGAAAAAAAAAGAGCTGGGTGTGTTTTATGACCCCAATATGGCGCTCTATACACTATACCTATCCATATGTCTGTCCAAACAGCTTGATTTAGCTTGACAGCTAGATTTTTCACTATAGGTGCCCTTTAAAAAGCTATACTTTTGTATTATTTTATCTTTGCATCACATTAATAAAAATAAAAACAATAAATATAATTAACACTCCTGTGAGGTGTTTGTAATACAGTGTATTTGGGCAGAACATTAATTTTGACATTGTTCTTTCTTTTCTTACTGCTGTTACCAGTCTAACTCCTTTTTTGTTTTTTTTAAACATGGTGAAAATGCTTTCATGGAATCTTTCTTTTATTATTTGAGCAAGTTGGCATGCGGAAACGTGTTTGTGGTACTTTCCCATTCACTCCTCTCTAAGGGTGCTTTCACACCTAGACTTTTGTTTCGGAAGCTGTCTCGTTTGCCCAATTACCGCGGTTCCTTTGGCATATGTGAATCCAGCAATCGCGCTTGGATCTGTGGCAAAACATTCGCTCCGAGATCGCATAAATGAGGTGGTCTCGGCTCAATGAACAAACTCTGGAGCGGATCGATTGTAGTGAGAAAGCGATATGATCCGAGCCTGGTTATATCACAGTGTATTATGGATATGTAATAGGCATACGGCTATATGAAGAGAGAATTATGAGTAGGGCGAGAGGTCCAGACATCCTAAGCCTCCCGGAGTCTCCCACAAATGTACAGAGACTCCCGTATGCCCGCAAATAAGTGATAATCTCCTGCAAATAGCGCGTCTCCCTCTAAGGGTGCTTTCACACCTGTGAATCGATTCAGTTGTTCCGAAACAGAGATTACAAATGTTACATTGTTGCTCTTTGCTCTTGGAGCGGTTCGCTTTCACACTGCAGAGTTTCTAATCGGACCAAAAGAGCTGAAACAAGTCACGTGTGAGTTAACTCTCCTCACATTGGTCAGAGTGTCAGGGTTTATTTTGCAGCGTCCCGCTCAGCTGTCAGGAGAGGCGGTGGTTGGTGATTGACAAGGTGCGTGCGCGATATGTATGCGAAAAGAGATGCGGTGGGGAGTGGTGAGAAGAGTGCGCGACGATGTCTATTTGAGGACCGGGAGGGAGACGCGAGATTACTGGGAGATCATCACTCATTTGCAGGCATCCGAAGACTCGCGAAACTTCCTGCCCTACTCATAATTCTCTCTTCATATAGCCGTATGCCTATTACATATCCATAAAAGACAGTGATATAACCGCGCTCAGATCGGATCGCTTTCTCACTGCAATCGAACCGCTCCAGGGTTCATTTCAATCGAGCCGAGACCACCTCACTCATGCGGTCTCGGAGCGATTACTTTGGCGTGGAACAGAGTGCGATTGCCCTGTTCACATATGCCAAACGAACTGCGCTAACTGGGCAAACGAGACAGGTTCGAAATAAAAGTGTAGGTGTGAAAGCACCCTAAGTCCTCAAATACGTTGCGCACCCTTCTCACCCCTCCCTACCGCATCCCTCCTCGCTCTTTAGACCCGTCGTGTGCACCCTGTCAAACACCACCAAACCACCACCCCAGCTGAGCAGGTGTCTGCAAAATACACTGTGAAACTCTGACCAATGTGAGGAGAGTTTACTCACACATGACTTGTTTTTAGCTATTTTGGTCAGTTTAGAAACTTGTGTGTGAAAGTGAACCGGACCAAGAACAACGAGCAACAATGTAACAAATTTAAACCTTGTTTTGAAACAAATTAGCCAACTATGACTAGTAGCCTTTATGGTGAAAATGGAATGTAATTATTTATTATGACTCAAAATTTACAACGTGTCATCGATGAGTAAAAAATTGCCCATTTTATGGTTGAAATTAAGTCACTTTTGTAGACATTAAACCACTGTTTTACACTCTTGATAATGAAGATGCCAAGAACAGAAAAAGGTTTCACAGCAAGAATAGAAAAAAATCTTTTTTTTTTTGCTACAAAGAACCATTTTTCATATTGGGGAAAAAACACTTTCATAAATCTAAAGATTTTTTTTCCACTGAAAATAAGCGTTTGATAACACTCTTAAAAAGTGTACAGAATAGTTACTTCATTGGTTTCAATGACTCCATGGAGAACCTTTAACCCTTTTGTCGTGTTCACCTCCCACCCCTTACTTTAGTGTTCCCGGTCTGTTTTAACTGCTCTTATATTAGGACAAATAACATTTTTTACCACCAAATTTGTATTCAACATTGTTTAGCTGTGAGCTATGTCTCAAGTAGTGTTTAAAATAAATTTATGGAATTAGAATTTCATAAAATACCTGCAGTGAAAATACCAATAGCCACTGAAAGTGTATTACAAAATGAACATGTAATGGAGGTAATCACGTGGGAGAATCGACACATACAGTAAGCGTGGGAAAGAGATGTGTGCCCTCAAAAGACATTGTTCTGTCTGAAATGTGTGAGTGAGAGAGTTGGGGTGGTGTGTATGGGGAAGTTTTCTGTCTGATGGTTGAATATAGCCTGGATACCCATTAATTTGCTAAGGGGGTCACTTTTGACTGGGAACATCACAGGTGTAACAAGGTTGATTAAAAAAGTCCATAAGGCCTTGAGGCAATCAGATGTGAAACACACTATTTATGAGTGTTTTAAGTTGTAAATCGGTCAGATTTGACCCGAACACGACAGAAAGGTTAACCAGGAACCTTCGTGTTCTTTGAATCTCTTCATTCTAATTTTTCTAATCACTGCAAAGCAGTTTTATTTTCTTTTGTTTTGTTATTTTTATTTATTTTATTTTATTTTATTAAAGTCTAACTAAAGCCCTTGAATTATTTCCAGTGTCTCTGTAGATATTGCTTCCAACAATTTGCATTTCAATTTGACTTGATTATGTCTCTTTTTAGAGACTTTGTGTAAACAGATTTGATATCGATTTCAGCCTGGCAGACATGAAGACAAAGCAAAACTAGATTAAACACCGCATTACACCGTCTGGAGGCCTTCGTCAATGACACTTTTAAACCTTTAATCACTTTTAACCTTTACCTTAAATTGCACATCCATCTCTTTTCTCTCTTTCCTTCTTTCTCTCTCTCCATCTCTACACACGCTGCTTGTTGAAACTACTTATTTAAAAGAAGTTGAAACAACACAGTGCTTAAATGTTATAAGGAGAACTTAATTGTTTCATGTTCAATTAACTTAAAATTGTAAAAGTATTGAGTTAACTTAATTGTTTTGTGTTGAGACAAGATGAAGGGATTATGTTGAACCCAGTATTTTTTACAGTGTATCTCTATATCTCTCTCTGTCTGTAGATTCAAGGTGCAATAATAGTGTCGTCTCTAATCGAGGTGGTCATCGGGGCCTTGGGTTTGCCTGGCGTCCTGCTCAAATACATTGGGCCTCTCACAATCACCCCTACCGTGACCCTGATCGGGTTGTCGGGCTTCCAGGCAGCTGGCGAGCGAGCAGGCAAACACTGGGGCATTGCCATGCTGTGAGTCCTACTGTCCTGCAAACATGACTAGCTTTGTGTGAACGCCGTGTTTGATGTATAACTCTCCATCTCTCTAAAACAGGACGATATTCCTGGTGTTGCTGTTTTCTCAGTACGCGCGGAACATCCACCTGCCGCTCCCCGTCTACAAATCCAAAAAAGGCTGGACGTCGTACCGCCTGCAGCTCTTCAAGATGTTCCCAGTGAGTTTCTCTGTTAATCCAAGATAAATAGGTTTCAGTTAGTCACAGATGGGAATTAATGCAGAATGAGATGTTATTATGTTGTTTAATGCAGGGGTGGCCAACTCTGTTCCTGGAGAGCCACCTTTTGTAGGTTTCAGTTGCAACCTAAATCAAACACACCTGCCTGTAAGTATCACGTGGTGTTCAGGTCCTAATTAATTGGTTCAGGTGTGTTTGATATGGGTAGCAACTGAAATCTGCTGGAAGGTGGCTCTCCAGGAACAGGGTTGGCCACCCCTGGCATAATGTTTCATATGTTATATGTTAGATCAGTAGTTCTCAAACTTTTTTCATCAAGTACCACCTCAGAAAACAATTGTCTCTCCAAGTACCACCAAAATGAGCAGTATTGAAATACAATAGCGTAGTAGGCCCAGTAAAGCAGCTACAACTCTGCACAGTTAAAAAAAACGTGGCAGATCACCTCAGAAATATAGGCTTTATGTCATATATCGCATATTATATACATCATTTTTGATACATTTTTAAATGTGTGTAGCATGTACATGACATACATCATTCCTCCGTGTACCACTAGAAGGAAGCCAGCGTACCACTAGTGGTACACGTACCACAGTTTGAGAACCACTGTGTTAGATCATATTATATTGTAGAAAAAAATGGGTATTTAATTGCTTTAAATAGCGGCAATGACATGGTATCCTTTTTTATTATATTATATTATATTATATTATATTTTATTATATTATATTATATTATATTGTATTGTATTGTATTGTATTGTATTGTATTGTATTGTATTGTATTGTATTGTATTCAGTTATTTTAAGAAGGGATTTCTTTTTTCTGAATGCCATTGCATAAAATAGATATTGTGTATATATTATGATAATATAATGATTTGTATTATATTTTATTATTTTTCTACTCATCTGTAATGTTAGTGACAGAAAGTGAGACCGAATTTAAAAATGAATATATAAATAAAATACAAATGAATAAAAACACAAATCAGCGTAAAAAAGTTAAACATTTTTCCATGGTTGTAATCAGAGCTTCATATGAACTTTTTTGATCACCAGCCACAGTGGCTAGTAGTGTTCCAATGTTACTAGCCACTTGCCATTTTCACTAGCCACAATTTTGTTGTTGGGAAAATATATATTTTTATGCATATATTTTACTTTGGCTTGCTAAAATTACTTGATTTAAATATTGTGTTGTGTCTACATGCCTCCTGGTTCATTAAACTTTTTAATGTGTTGTGACCTTGCTCAATGTGCATGAGCACATTTGTTGTGGTTTTATAGTGTTTCTTTGCAATTAGTTTTATTTCGCATAACTTTTCAGGTCTCAACACTAAGGATTTACCTTTTTTTTTTCTCTGGCCACACCAAACTCATTTTTTCCTTGCCACAAATTTTTAATAATGGGTTAAAACAAGCAAAATATATCTGTATACATACACTTTTTATTCAACAAAAATGCTTTTTGAAAAGCAATTTACATAAAAAAAAAATGTTGTCATGCATCTAAAACTATACACAGGAGTCTGTCCTGGCTAAAGGTTCCAGTTTACAAGTTAACTATACATAAATGTTGAGTTAATCTCCTATTAAAGCAATGTTATTGTAAAGGATGATAATTAAACTATTGACAAAAATAACTGTAAGCAAAAGAAAGCAGATAGAAAGCATTCCATGTGCAATAATGAAAGGATGTTCACACACACACTGTTAACGTTAGGCCTATTAATAATCTGTTCATTTAATGGTTAAAGCGAAAGAGGCAACCGCTGTTGCTTACAAACAATCTCGAGCTCTCGAAAGCAGCAGGACCGTGGCTACATAAGCATTGCATTTTTTCCAGTCTATTTCAAAGAGAACCAATAGTAGTTGTGTTTCCAGGCATGGTTGCTTTCCGCAAGGAAACGAGAGCGCACAAGCTTTTAAAACACTTGCGCATATCACATCAGCATTGCGCAAGACACTAAAGCCCTTGTCAGTGCGTGAGAGTTGCCTGTGTCTCTGTGTGAATTTTCTCATTCGTTTTTCACCTTCTCTCTTTTGCTTACCCGAACAGTTATTTTTGTCAGTCGTGCTGCTTCTTGATTCTAAGATCACACGTGCAAGAATATTGACAAACGGTCATAAACTAATCCTAATTCTAATCTTTAGTGACGAGCCAGCATTGGCAACTTATTGGCAACTTTATTGACGAGCCAGCATTGGCCATTTTTTTTTTTTTTAACCAGCCAAAGTGGCTAGTGGGAGCGGCTGTCTAACCCGCCACAGCTGAAATCTACCTGCAATTGGCTGGTTGGCGGGTGTTAATTTCAAGCCCTGGTTGTAATAAAAAATATGAGAATAATCAGACACACAAAAATTTATTTATTTAAATAGTAAATATTATACACACCAAAACCACAGTTGTAATGAAATTGATATGAAGAGTTCAGATGCAAAAGCAGCTAAACGCCATTACCGCCAAAAATGAGATAATGACATTGAGTGAATGCTTTAGGCACGTAGTACACCATCAACAAATAGATTTGCTTCTAATCATCCAAATGCCAGGGTCCGTGCATTCAGAAATAACAGTTTGTTGGAAAAAGCCGCTAAGCGCCACTTGCCTTTGAAAGCAAAAGCCGATACATCCCAAGAGCCAATCAGAAGCGAATTGAATCATATGAGGAGCGCGAGTTGGCTTTTATAAGGAGATGGTTTTATTCCACTTTCGATTTCGATTTTAAAAGGTGAAGTTTGATAAACTGCATGAGCCTGTCCTATAGTCAGTAAATGGCAAATGAAAACATCCCTTACATAAAAACTGTGCATTATAAGAAAACACAATGTGCAGTCGGAAGTGTAGCATGCATTCATAACGTTTTTTTTTTTTTTTTTTTTTTTTTGAGCAGCGACGCTTCTTTGAGTCCGATTTACTATACATTATACGCCAACTGCGTTTCATGAAAGACAGAGCTAAGAGGCCTTTCTTTTATCCCACGTGGATGCTATGAGGATAAACAAGGGACCAAAACCAAAAGACCAAAATGTTGAGAATGAATGACAGCTTCTAAAACGGTCTAAGAGGCATCCCCTTTTTGCCAACCAAACCTACCTAGTTTTTTTTTTTTTTTGCTAATGTAAGCTATTTTCTAAAAAGATAAATATAATGTATAAAACTACACATTATTGATATTACTCTTTATTACCTATCTGATAAGCTTTTGGTAACACTTTACGATAAGGTTCATTAGTTAATGCATTTACTAACATTAACTAATCATGAACAACACATGTACAGCATTTATTAATCATAATTGAACATTTACTAATGCATTATTAACATCCAAGTCCATGCTTGTTAACATTAGTTAATGCACCATGAGTTAACATGAACTAACAATGAACTACTGTATTTTCATTAACTAACGTAACTAGCATGAACAAATACAGTAGTAAATGCATTGTTCATTGTTTGTTTATGTTAGTAAATGCATTAATTAACATTAACTAATGAACGTTAGTGTAAAGTGTGACTAAGCTTTTTATATTAATATGAATATTTATGCACAGATATTGATGTTTCATAATGTTTTACACTACGTTATTTGAATCTATCAAGCTTAGCTTACAATGTTTACATTGCTCTACTTACATTAAATCTAAATCCCAGATATCAGAAATGACAACAGATTAAGATTTAATTAATGTTAATTTTAATCTTATTGATTAATGCAACTACTTGACAGATTTCATTCATTCATTTTCCCTCTGCTTTTCTCTGGTTTATCACAGGGGAATGAACCGCCACTTACTTGACAGATAATTGACAGACAGATAATTACTTGAAACTTACTTGACAGACAGATAATTTTAGGGAGTTTGTGTAATGTGTTTTATGTTTGGTAAAATTATTTGTAATTGCATCTTTCGTGATTTTCATCTCATTACACTGTCTTGTCCCAATAGGTGGATTTAGAGGTTTAAAAGAAAATAGGTTTTAGAGGGTTTTGCATCTGAACTCTTCATATGTTCTCTGATTATTATTTTATGTTTTGGTTTTCTCTACTTCATTGTGTTAATAAATCATTAGCCAATTTTTCTTGTTGTTGTTTCCACCATTGTTGTGATGGAAAATATAAGTATTATAATATAAATAATGAATGCTACTCCATTTATTTCTGAAATGAACCACATGCCATAAATAAATGATCCCAGTCATTAGTTGCCAGTAGTGTGACTTGGCACTTTCCGAGTCTTGGCACGGCTCATAATCCGCTGTTAGCTCTGATGACAAGCCATAATTAGCATGCTGTTTCAGAGATGAGCTGCTTTGGGCCTGGGCTTTTACATGATAGCACAGCAGACAATGACATGGCAGTGAAAGTGTGTGGGAGGCAGAGAGAGGAGCCAAAACACACACAATGATCCTTCAAAATGAACCGTGATCATGCAGTGTGTTTGTGCCGTCTGCTGGTGGGAAGGATATGCAACCACTGTCTGGCTTTGTGTTTGGTTGGACTGAGCATAAGAAGAGTTTCTTGTTTTAATACCGTCTCTCTCTGTTTCTCTGTAGATCATCATGGCTATCCTGGTGTCGTGGTTTCTTTGCTTCATCTTTACGGTGACTGATGTGTTTCCTCCTGAGAAGGACAAATACGGTTTCTATGCCAGAACAGACGCTCGACAGGGCATCCTGGCAGCCGCTCCGTGGTTTAAGATACCCTACCCCTGTGAGTGCATGTGTTTGTGTGTGAAATGACATGGGTATTACAATGTAAGCATGTTTTTTTGGGGACATTTCTTATGTCATTGTAAACCAGATGACTTTAAAAGTGAGAGGTAAACCACCTTTACAAAGTGAAAAATTGTCAGAGGGTTAAGGCTGAGATGTCAAACTCAATTCCTGGAGGGCTGCAGCCCTGCTTCAGCACATCTACCTGTAGGTATCAAACAAGCCTAATTGTGCGTTTACACCGAAGGCGGTGAGAGCGTCAAAGGTTGCTCTCGCCACCCTGACAACAATGCTGTCTGCTTTCAGTTCCGGCAGTGAGAGCGTCAACATTTGCTAGATTGTTGATGTATCATATCAGTTACATTTCTGCATAAAACATGCTTTCTGCATGAAAATGTTGCACACTTTTTATGAAATTAATTTAACAATGGAAGATCCAAGTTGAAGGTAGTGTTGCTTTGCGGTGCTTAATTATCCAATGTATCCATATGTCTAAAATATCCAGAGACAGCAATACTGTTTTGTAGGGATGTAACGGTATTGTAAATACCGTCATACCGCAATATTAATTTTTTTCAAAATTACCGTAGTCGCATGACTCGGTAAAACTATAGGTCTTCTGAGAAAATTTGCTCAGGTGAATGAAGCGAACGGGAGGTACCGGAAACTACAATTCCCATCAGCCCAGGCTTGGCCATAATCCCTTGCGGTCTGTTGTCGCTACAGATCCAGTAATGCGGAAATGGAGTGTGCTGCTAGAAGCGGGGATCAAAAAGAGCTGGAAAACCCTAAAGCGGGTGTTGTCGCCGCGCGCGTACTGAATAGAGGTGTTGTCGCGCGAGTTCTGATCAGCTGTGTTGTCGCGCGCGTACTGAAAAGCGGGGACGGAGGGTATGTCGTGTCGCGGGGGCACTTTTGATCATTTTGAAAGGGAACTTTCTATCCAAGACTAAAAAGGGCATGTGCACTGCACAGGTTAAGCACTGTGTGTGCACGTGCCTGCAGAAACACAGCACACTGTTCAGATTGATGCAGACATGAGACCTCTATCTCACTCATGGTTTGTCCTCTCAAGTGGGGGAAAGACAATGCACAACGTTACCCACTGCTGTCAACCTGGGCCAAGTCATATCTCTCAGTCCCAGAAACCTCAGTCCCAAATGAGAGGGTTTTTTCTGTTGCAGGGGACATTGTAAATACCCAGAGATACCAGCTTTTACCAGATTATATTTATATGATAATTTTCCTTTAAACCCATCTCTATCTAAGTAAGTGAGTGAGTGATTAAATGTTGAATGTGATGAGTTTTCAACAATACTAAATTGAAACTTTATTTTTTTACATGGTTTAATATTTTTTTGTTATTAAAATTGAAGTTCCTGTTTCAAAGCTTACAGATAGATGGCTAATTTGTATGTCTTTGACACTTTTGGCACTTTTTTTGAGTATTTTCATAAGTTTTGTTTTTTCCTGTAAATGATTCAATAAATACCGTACCGTGACATTCATACCGAGGTATTACCGTACCGTGAAATTCTGATACCGTTACATACTGTTTTGTAATGTTGCATGAGATTCCTGCTTTTTTAAAGAAAAAAAAAAATAATATATATATATATATATATATATATATATATATATATATATATATATATATATATATATATATATATATATATATATATAGTAATGCACTTTAGTAACTCGCCAGTAATTATTTTTAATGTATGTTCCTGTAAGAAAACATTGCAAATAATTGAAAATCCGGCGACCGCAATAATCAAACCCTTGGGAAAAACTGTGGTGGGAACCAAAGTTCAAAGTGACTGTATTCTCTGGACTTTTATTAAGTGGTGGACTTCTGATTGCTTGCTGCCGAACCGTGTCATAGCTCATTACATTATTGACTTGATTTCAGCTCTCCTCGATTCCCACATCGGCGAAGACGTGCCTCACCGCTTATCGCCGCCATCTTGCATTGAAAATGAATGACTTCCAGCTACTTTGACTACTAAACGTACTTTAAAGCACTTAATAAGTTTGATCAAGTGTGTTTAGTTAGGGTTGGAACTAGCGCTGTCAAAATTAGTGCGTTAATGCATGCAATTAATTTTAAATAATTAACGCGTTAAAAAAATTAACGCAATTAACGCAGTTGCAGGTTTTTTTTACTTCCTGTTGTGGTGGTCGTGTGTTCAACACACAAGACTTGTGGATAAGACCAAGGAAGCACTTTTTGAAGGCAAGTTTCAATATAAAACAATTAGTCGCATCACCAGGCTCTCCAAAGTTTCATGCAATTTCGGGTTTTTCATTTTTAACTTTCTGTTGTAAGTTGATACCGCATGGCGAACAGAAAGAAAATCCTCCGCATTTTGTGACTCTGTGTTCCTTTAAGGTAATAAAATCACTGCTTAGGCTACACGGTAGAATTTTAATAAGAGTATAATCTTAATCATATTAAAAATCGGTGTATTGGTGTCTTATGTGAATGTACTCAGAAAGTCTCTGGTAAAGTCGCAAGCTGTCAAAGAAAGGGCATTACTCTACCTTTCAGCATGAGCCCTCCAAGTTTATCGTGTTTCCTCATTAAACGCAACGCAAACGCGTTGTTGTGTCAGAATCCTTGTGAAATACAGTAATACTTTAGGACGCTTAGTTTAAGCAAATTTGATGAACGTGATCATGCGTGTTGAATCTGAGGGGAGTCGCTCCAGTATGGAAGGCCGTTGGGGCCAAAACGTCTGCAGCGCGTTGTGTGTGTGTCTGTGTGCGTGTCTATGTCAGGCCCTTGAGGGGTGTCAGGGGTGGAGTGAGCGATGTATCTGAGTAGGGGCGTGCGTGCGCGAGACGTGAAATTATCATTCATTTGCGGGCATTTGGGAGTCTCTGTGCACTTGCGGGATACTTCTAGTCTTAGCAACTGGATGAATGTAAAGGAGGATTAAGCTAAATTGTTTCTACTCTATAATTAATGTTCTCAACTCACAGCAATAAAACTTTACAATAAGTGCTACAGTTTGTATTCTATAGTTTATTATTATAATTTTTCATTTTCCATATCTGCAATTCCTGTATTTTGGCATTTTTTTGCAGTCCACTTAGAATCCAACTTGGAAATCAATGTTTTCTTTATTGGCATTAATTGTTTTGAAATTTAAATGTCATTAACATGCCTGTGTTTTAATTTCTTTAATAAATATGTCTGTCAAGCCAGGATCTTGATGGTTTATTGTGGGTATGTTGTTTACATGAAGAAATCTGTGTTACAAGTTAAACACAAATTCTATTAAACAATTATATTTTGAATTTTAATTCTAATAAACAATTATATTTTGAATTTAAATAGTTTTTGTCTTGCGTTTACATTAATTTTACATTTGAATAGCCAAGTTTCAGTATTTTATATGCGATTAATCGTGATTAATTTTTCAAAAAAGGTGCGATTAATTAGTTAATTTTTTTTAATCGATTGACAGCACTAGTTGGAACTAAACTCTGACTGCTAAACAGACTATTGAACTAAACAGAGCTGTGGTCCTCCAGGAGTTTGTCAAAGTTTGTGCGTTAAGGAATTGAACATATAGTTTATACACTATAAAAATCATTTTCTTTGATTATTCCATGAAAAACATTTATACCGGTAAGTTGATGTTTGTGTTTGTGCTTCTGTTCATGATTTTGTTTCTCTCTGTGGTTGTGTTTCTGTTTATGTGTTGCGGCCTTACAAACCCAGTGATCTACCAACTGGCTTTTCAGGCCAGACCTTGTAATAAACAAACACCATTAGACTTCTGCAAATAAAATAAAAATTATATTCTAGCTATAGAGTTTCTTATATTGTAGCTTGCTGTTCAAGTATTTAACCCTATATTAGGTGTAACTTTTAATCTGATCTTCTGAACGCCCTTATTGTGGCACAGTACAATATATAATCATAATAATCTTTATTGTATGATTAAAATATATATTATGCGCTAGTACAATTTTTTTTATTACCTAAGATTTGAAGTACTCTGTAAAAGGGTTGGGTATTGTTTGGGGTTGTAGCCTTTTTGCAGCTCTACCCAACCCTACTCTATAAGTACACCATTTAATAAAATGAAGTACTCTTTTTGACATGTCTCATATCTTTTAAGATAAAGGCAAACTCTTAATATCCTACAATAATACTACTCAAAACTAAGGTGGCAGACAAACCGGTGTTATTGCTCTTCTCACAGTTCATCCATCAATTATTAAATTAACTATTATTAAATACAATTGGAATGAATCAATTGTATTCAGCACACCACAAATAACCCCAAAAACTCTAAACAAGACTGCAGTTTCCTGGACCTATTAAATATTACTGTACTGTATGCAATGCAAAGAGAAAATAATCTGAAGGTACAATACACACTTTACTGAAAAGAGCTACAGGCACAGATTAATGTCACGTTAATATACCAAGCGTAAATTAATTTTTATGGATAAATAAAACACAAAGTCAAATGTCCCACTCACTCATTCCCCACTGCTTTATTTGAAGTACAGCCTTATTTTTTTAAATGATTTGTTTCAGTTTCCCAAACTGTAAGTGCAATCCTAAATTTGAAATCGGGTCGTCAGATCCAGGAAAAGGTGGATGGGTCTTTCTGTATACTCATTCTAAATCGATTACTCATAATGCTTTGTGTGTTCCAGTCCAATGGGGTCTGCCCACAGTGACCGCAGCAGGGGTGATTGGGATGCTGAGTGCCGTTGTTGCCAGTATTATTGAGTCCATCGGGGACTATTATGCCTGTGCCCGTCTCTCCGGTGCCCCTCCACCTCCTATACATGCTATTAACAGGTACAACACAAACACACATGATTTCAAGATTCGGGGTGGGTTGCACCAATAACTTGATAAACTTAATCTAGATTAAATCAAGGTTTATGTAATATTTATATTGCACCAAGCTTTAAATCGTGTTTAGACAGCAGTTTTAAGCTACACAAAGGAACACAGTCTCTCCATGGAGAACCTTCTGAGGCACTTCTATTGACATTTTCAGTTTTTCACAAAGATAATATTAGTCCTGTTTTGAATCTATCACAATTTCAATGCACAGGCTTTTGTAAGTCTTTTTAAATAGAGCACAATCTCATTTGAATCTAAAGCCACAGTCACCAAAAACAGCTCAATTTGAGCCTAGAAGGGGCAGTTTCATTCAATCATTCATTTTTCTTTGGCCTAGTCGCTTATTTATCAGGGATTGCCACAGAGGAATGAACCACCAACTGTTTCGCCATAAGTTTTACGCAGTGGATGCCCTTCCAGCCGCAACCCAATACTGGGAAACGACCATACACTCTCGCATTCACACACGCGTATACGCTATGACCAATTTAGTTCATCCAATTCACATATAACACATGTTTTTGGACTGTGGGGGAAACCAGAGGAAACCCACGTGAACACAAGGTGAAAATGCAAACTCCACACAGAAATGCCAACTGGTTCAGCTGGGACTCAAATAAGCGACCTTCTTTCTGTGAGGTGACAGCACTAACCACTGAGCCACCGTGCTCCCCCAGGACAGTTTTAAAGAGTTATAAAAAAATTTGGAGTATTTTGAGATAAAACTTTGCATAAACACTGAAACTTATTTCACATCTTGTAAACAGGGGTATAATAGGTCCCATGTAAAGTGTTAAAATGAAGTGGTGCAACATAACTCAAGTTAAAATAAAGCCCAGATCAACAAATCCTTGATTAGCTCTAAACTCTACTTAATTTAATTCTTTTTGGTGCAACCAGTTCTAAACATGTTTAATTATCCATATCAGATCTGCACCACAAATCATCTTTGGGGCATTTTTGCTATGTACTTTTCTTTAGCGGACGGAAGTTATCCATTTATTTGTCTACAGTGCTAATGCATAAATCGAATGTATTGTTTTCCCCAGAGGGATCTTTACAGAGGGCCTTTCCTGTGTTCTTGATGGAGTCTTTGGCACTGGAAATGGCTCTACATCTTCCAGCCCAAACATCGGAGTGCTGGGCATCACAAAAGTACAATCTTTTCATATTCAGTGCCTTTTCGGTTTCTTTTGTGTTCACTAACTACCAAAATTTGGTTTCGTATAGGGCTATATGATATATGGTTTCAGCGTTCAATGTTGAGTTGGGATTATAATTATGCAGAAAACAGTTTAGAAAACACATCAAAAGTTTAACTCTAATGTGAAAAGGGATTCAAGTGAATTTAAACCAATCTAGCACAAGAAATGATCAAATGTTTAGCATTAACAGAGATTGATTGTAGTGAATTGTTTCTACAATGAAGACTACAGTAGTCAACATTTGAAGTGGATCACAAGAAATTTCAAAATTATCATGACAACAATGGGTGTTTTTAAATACTTTGATGAAAGGTTTTCATCCACTTCAAATGTTGAGTGTGTGTGTGTGTGTGTGTATATATATATATATATATATATATATACACACGCACACACACACACACACACACACACACACACACACACACACACAGTATATTGGATTATTTATTTCTATAACTCAATATTGTCTCCAGAAAACTATAAAGAACTGTTTATTCAGTTGTATGAATTTATGCTATAGAATTTATGCTATTGTTCTACTGTTCTAAAGAAATAAAAGACAACTAAATCACAACTAAAGCACAAACATTCAGTACAAATAAGTAGTCTTAAATAAATAAATAAATAAAGCATTATTTTAGCCTAAATATAGAAAGATGTTCAGTGTTTTCTATTTTGATAGGACTAAGGCAAGACATTTTCATTTATGTTTTTATTTCTGTTTTTATTTACATTTTCGTTGTTGATTATATTTTACTATCTCATTTTATGTCTCAATTATTGTACATAATAATAAGCGAATAATGAAAATAAATGAATAATGAAAATAAATGAATAATGAAAATAGGCCTAAATAAATTATTTATTTAAAGACATTACCGCGAAACTCTGAGAAACGGTCAGGAGCATGGTCTAAAGAGCTTAAGTTGAATGCTGCTTCATCATAAGTAAAAAAATTAATTGACCTACCTTAAGCAGATCACTAAAAGTATAATAAAAATATTTTTGCCACAGGATATAAATTAGGTCTCGCAGGTTTATTTTTAATTATTTAATTTCAGTTCAGTAGTTCTTTGTTATATTTTTTTAGATGCTAGGTTTCAAAGAAGCCTAAAGGACTCCGTTAGTTTGATCAGGTGTGTTTAATTAGGGTTAGAACTAAACTGTGCAGAGCTGCGGCCCTCCAGGAACTGAGCTGGACACCTGTGGCCTAAATGGATCAATATTTTTTTTTTGACATCACCTCATGCTTCAATTTCTCATCAAATCTTCTGACCAATCAAATGCACTCTAATATCTAACATGTCCCTCCCCATTCAAGACATTTCTCATTTTCTTTTCATTTAATGCTATAGTTTGTTTCAGTTGCAATTGTCAAACAGATTAAGAGAATGCACATTTCAAAGCACTAAGAATCACAACGTTATCATTTAATTAAAATAAATAAGCACTTTTGTCTCTCATTAACTGTGCAGGTGGGCAGCAGGAGGGTCATCCAGTATGGTGCAGCATTCATGCTACTGCTAGGAATGGTGGGTAAATTTAGCGCTCTGTTTGCATCGCTGCCGGACCCAGTCCTTGGAGCTTTATTCTGCACACTATTCGGCATGATCACCGCCGTCGGCCTCTCCAACCTGCAGTTTGTGGATCTCAACTCGTCCCGCAACCTGTTTGTCCTGGGATTCTCCATCTTCTTCGGCCTGGTTCTGCCTAGTTACCTTAAAGAAAACCCACTAGTCACTGGTAGATGCACATATATACCACATGGAGAATGATGTTGGTTGTGTTTTGAGGTATTTGTGGGGAACATGATTCTTTTCTTCTGTCGTAGGTATAGTGCAGATCGATCAAGTGCTGAATGTTCTTCTGACGACTGCCATGTTTGTTGGCGGTTCAGTGGCGTTTGTGTTGGATAATACTATTCCAGGTAGGTGCACATAATTAAAATATTGACCTCATTCTTTAATGTTGAAGTGCACTCGTTTTTGTTTTAGAACTACCGATTTAGTTGCTTATGAGAGAATTGACTAGGAATAATATACGGCAGTAAACGGTCAAACTATTTCCTCTACAAGCAAGTGTGTTCATGACTATACAGACATTGCAAAATAATATAATAAGGAAATATAAGTTTGCAACATCATGCTGCAGAAAGAGCATTTTAAATGTCGAAAAATGAATGAAAGTTAATTAGACCGGAAATCTGAAGTCAAAAAGATTGAAATGCTTCGCCTGCTGTAAAGAAAAAGGTAATTACTCAAAAAATCCTGTTGTTTTGTCAAAGCAAATTCACGTGGTAGCTCTCATTCTTGAAAATAAAGATGATAAAGCTAGAAGAATAAGAAAACTGTTGATAATTACTGGATCAAAAGTAAATTCATTCATGTTTTCTTTTACTAATTAAAACTGAAAAAATAAATGCAAAACATTTTTTATTCCACATTTTTATATTTACATATTTCCATATTTGGTACATATATTTGGTCCAGATAATGTTTTAGACCAATTTTAAATATTAGTTTGTTCAAAAGCATTGATTAATAAATAAATTACTTAATTTATTATTAACTAACTTACTAATTGATCAATACATTAATTAACTAATTAATAAATAGTTATTATTGTTATTATTATTATTATTGTTATTATTATTATTATTATTATTAACTCATTATTTTAAAGCAAATTAGAAATTATTTTAAATCATTACCATTAAATGATTTAAAATCATTAAATCATTATTTAGTTAAAAAACTAAATAATAAACTTACCACTTCATGTTTAAATTTTGATTTATTTCTAATTAATCATGCCGCAATAATGAATTGTAAATGCTTAATATAAATTATATCTATAATGTGCTTTTTCTGATGTTTTGGACCATATTAAATATTAGTTTGTTCAAAAAACATTGATTGATAAATAAATAAAATTATTATTTATCATTATTATTATCCCCGCGACCTGGCCCCGGATAAACGGATGAAAATGACATTATTATTATTAGTAGTAGTAGTAGTAGTAGGGCGAGGCAGTGGTGCAGTAGTTAGTGCTGTCGCCTCACAGCAAGAAGGTCGCTGGTTCAAGCCTCTCCTCAGTTGCCATTTTTGTGTGGAGTTTGCATGTTCTCCCCGCGTTCGCGTGGGTTTCCTCCGGGTGCTCCGGTTTCCCCCACAGTTTAAAGACATGCGGTACAGGTGAATTGGGTAGGCTAAATTGTCCGTGGTGTATGAGTGTGTGTGTGTGAATGTGTGTGTGGATGTTTCCCAGAGATGGGTTGCGGCTGGAAGGGCATCCGCTGCGTAAAAACTTGCTGGATAAGTTGGCGGTTTATTCCACTGTGGCGACCCCGGCTTAATAAAGCGACTAAGCGGACAAGAAAATGAATGAATGAATGAATTATTATTAGTAGTAGTAGTAGTAGTAGTTGTGGTAGTAATAAATCATTATATTAAATCAAATTAGTTGTTATTGTAAAGCATTGCTACTAAAATAATATCTTAAATAATAATTTAATATGATTATAAAATATATGAAAGAGTTTGAATAAAGAGTAAATAAAGTTAGTGTGAAGTAGCAAACACTAATAAAAAAATCAATAATAAATAATCAGCTACAGTATACAGTATATATATGGAAAAGAGCACAGCATAGTAACAGCATAGTTTCAGGGCTCGAAATTGCGACTGTTTTGGCCTCATATGCGTCTAAAATTTTATGTATGCAACCTCAAAATATATTTGGGAGCATTTGTGCGACTGCATAAAATTGGTGTCGTGCGACCAATTTTCACTGCAAAATGTTTACCGCACACGCAGATTTAGGAGACATTCACGCAGAACGCATCTTAGCACCTGAGACGCCAAACGCAGCGCTCATGAATAGTTTAAAACAGTTGTCATGTCAACTTGCTGCAGTAAACAAAGCGCGCTATGCTTGCCCCGCCTTCAAGCTCTTCTGATTGGCCCACTGCTCTAGAACTGAATGCGAACGGATTGATTAATATCAGCTGTCAATCACTCAGTCGATGCCTTTCTTTAGATGACAGGGAGAGCTAAAGCCACGAACATGTAAAGTACTGAAGATGGGAGGAAAATAACACTGACAGATTTAGTTTTAGAAAACACCTAAAGTTACAAATAATGACACATCTGATTAGAGATCATGTGGCGAATGTTAATCCATCGTTTACTCTTTTTCGAAGAGTGGACAAAAGACTTCTAGTGTTTAAAGTCTGCTATGAAAATGACTTAAGCATTCACCATAAAGCCGGTGTGACGGAGTTTGAAGGTAATCACGTTCGCCAAATCTACACATTTTAGGTGCAAGAGGTTCTGTTTAATTCTTAATTTAATTGTCAGGATGCTTTCAGCTATGCAAGTGGCAGCTATATGTAAAATGTAACACCACAAACACCATCGCAAAAGGGCTTTCATTCATTAAGATATAACTAATAGTGCAGCTCATGAAAAAACGGTATTACTATTAAGATGACGTATGCAAATAATTACCTATTATTTCAGTATTATCTGTGCTGTGTATTGTTAACTAAGTTTTACTCATGTCAAGCAGTGCGTGTAGTGCCGGTGGGCGCATGCAGGTGTTATTTTGTTTGTTTGTTAAAATGTTTAGTGTTCATTTCAAATGCAGTAAATCGGTTAATATAATATTAAAACTTGTAGTAATGGTGCTTATAATTAGTGGGTCACCTAGAAACTGGCATGTCATTAAATGGCCAGTTTCCACTAAGTTGTGCGGTACAGTTCGGTTTGGTATGCTTTTATGGCAGTTGCCACTGTCAAAAGGCACCAAAAAGCAAACCATACCCGTAACACTTTTTGGGTACCCTTCTGCAGGGGTACCTAGCATAACAAAAGGGTACCAAAAGGCGGAGCAAGCCTCGCAGCTGAACGCTATTGGTTTACAGAGATACGTAACTAGCTCGTTCACAAGCCAGGAGAATGAAAACAAAGGAAGCGCCATTTTCAAATGCACAGCCGGGACATTAAACCGTAATAATACATACATAAAGTTACAAGCCATGGTTGATCTGAGCTCAAACAAACCTTGTTGTCGTCTTGATGAACAGCCACAAAGCCTAGAAGAAAACCAGAACTACCCTGTGCCCCATTGTTGTTTACAAGGCTGTCTAAAGCATGAGCGGTTTTGCTTTCTCAACATAGCTTGCGTGCGCATCTATATTTGAAATAGCGAACTTCTTGAGCTGATGATTATTGAAGTGCATCTGACATTCGATTCTTTCAGAAGCAGACAAACAAACAAATCGATCACATAGCCTTACCATTAATATTTATGAAGCATTACGCACCTTTTTTCAGTTTTATTTTTCACATTTTAGATAATTTACTATTTTTTCCTCTCATTAACTTTCTATATCAGGCACTGCAGAGGAGAGGGGCATCCGTAAGATGAATCGTGGAAACAGCTCATCTAAACGGGAACGAATGGAATCCTACGACCTTCCAATTGGTATGGACTTCTTGCGGCGCCATCGCATTTTCCAGTACCTTCCAATAAGCCCAACTTTCGCCGGCTACCAGTGGAGCATCTTCACCCACAGCTGTCGAAACAGGAAAGACGAAAGCATGCCAGCCAAACCAGAACTGGGAGAAAGTGGAGTATAGTGTTAAACACCGCCCTATCCGGTAGGTTTTTAGACAGTCATCGCGAAGCTTCATTCCACCCAGTCAGTGAATTCTGCAGTCCTATCCTTAAATACACAACCAGCTTCAGACTCTTTCATCCTTTAAAAACTCTTCCTTTTGATCGACTTGTCATCAAACACTAAAGGCGGTTTCTTGAGCGGTTTTCAGGCGGATCTGAAATTGTCCCAATGACAACGGCGAGTGGAAGCAAGGCAGTTATACACGTTCGTCTCTTTATGTGGGAGGATGTGGCAACACAGACTGATTGATGGAAAACACTTTATAAAATCCTCCGCATTTCTAGTATCAGTGTTCCTTTCTTTGGCCGACCTGCACTGCTCCGTCTGGTATGTCGATAATCAGATGCGTTTGACGATAAATGACATGCTAATGAGTTCCATTGTCACACATGCCCGTTCACAACAAGCCCACACTCGCTTTATGCATGGCACAGTTATGGAACAAAGTGGATCGCAAGGTTTACTTAGTGATGCAAGGTTATTGTGCTTTATGTTTGAATTGCACTGCTTGAATTAACGCACAAAATGTAGTTTGCTTGTTCGTGATTTTAACTTCCAGAAGTTTTTATGATTTTAAAGGGTTAGTTCAACATGAAGTGAAAATTCTGTCGTTTACTCAGCTTTGTTTCGTTTCAGAACACAAATTATGATATTTTTTATGAAATATGAGATATTTTGCCTCTCGATTGTAACTGATCCAAGTTTCGATATTCAAAATCTTCAGAAATACAAACTAAAATTAATACATGATGGTCAGTTTAATCACAATTTTACGAATTGTTAGTAGTCTTTGTGTGAGGGAAATAAAAACAGATATTTTGCCTCTAGATTGTATCTGATCGAAATTATAAAAATTCTAAATCTTAAGAAAGACAACTTAAAAATAATACATATTGGCCAATTTTATTACAATTTTATCAGTCAATAAAAGTATTTATGTGTGGGGAAAAAAAGAACGAAGAAAAATTAATTAGCGTTTTGAAAATAACCGAAATCTTTGGCGTTTCGAATGACATGAGAGTAAATAACAGAATTTTCTTTCTGGGTGAACCAAGTCCCAATGCCTTAAAAAGATTGAGTCACTCAAGTTTATGTCGTTAGTTAGCTGCTATTTTGATAAATAGTTCTTGAAAAATGAGGGCGTTTCTTATCACCAGTAATAAATACTGTTTGTGCCACCTTGAATTGCTAGTTTCAGAGGCGGACGCAAGTCAAGGAAAGCTATGCAGTAGGTAAAATGACACGCACAGAAAAAAAAAAAACACGAATGTATAATCAGTGCATGGTTTGCAAAAGAAGGAAGACTGGAAGGGAAAAACTTGAGAATGGTTGCACTCAGGTCTTGTTGAAAGACGGTGGGGAAAACGTTTTTTATAACTATATTGAGCTCGGTTCTGAGCGCCACATTTTTTTTTTTTTTGGTCTGTCCTTTGTTTGATGTAGGTGACGCTTCCTCACCGCTGTTGATGTGAATGTGGTTTATATTGTAGATCCCACAAGCACTGCTGATGTGGTTTGTTTGTGAGGAAGAGCAGAGTTTAGTGGGCATTTATATAGAGGGCGGCAATCTGAACATTAAACCTGGAAGACTTATGCACTGCTGGTTACCTAAAGATGTCCTGTGGGTTTTAATAATGGGGATTTTTAAGTTCATGAGTGAAATAAATTCTGTTAAACATAACTTGATGATACCTTAATGTTTTGCTAAAAAAAATATTGACACACATCAGTACCAAAGATGTTTATTTTTTGAAAAAGTAAGTTCTTGATATGTTTTGTGGTTGAGTGTGTTCATTTGTAATTTGTTCAGCAAAACATCTTTGCAAAAACGTACCTTCAAGTCACATTTACCACAGACCTTATTTGGATAAATTAATTTGAGTAAAGTTGTCTTATCTTCATTGATTGTCGACATTGTTAGATTTTAGACCTACATCTCTTCTGAAAAAATAGCTTAAACCAGCCTAAGCTAGTTAGCTGGTTTTAGCTGGTTGACCAGCCAAGCTTAAGACAAGTTTTAGCCCTTTCCAGGTTGGTTTCAGTTATTTCCAACTGGCTGGGAGATGACCAGCTTGATCAGCCTAGCCAGGCTGGGAGCCCAGCCAAAACCAGCTATGTCCAGCTTAAACCAGGCTGATCAAGCTGGTTTTAGCTGGTCATTTCCCAGCCTGAACAGCTAAGACCAGGCTTGAAATTGCTGAAATCAGTCTGGAAATTGCCAAAACATCTCTAAAACCAGGCTGATCAACCAGCTAAAACCAGCTGAAAAAGCTGTTTTTTTTTCAACAGGGATTTAAATTCAAGCAGAAAATATACACTAATTGTAAAAAATGTAGAAATGACACTCAAAATCTCTTCACTGAGGTAAATTTATCTGTTGTCTTCATCACTGTCGAGTAGTGTCGAATTAGCTTCAGTAACATCAGATAAGCTAGCAACATAACATTTTACTCTGAACAATTACAAAAATCCAATTCATTTTAATTTCTTTGAGGTAGATTTATCTGTTGTGCTAGTTTACTGTTGATTATTAGCAACACATTAGCAATATTCGTGATTAGCATCACAGTCCATTACATTTCACATTGGAAAAGAATAGAAATCAAGGTCAACCAAATCAAGGTTGATTGGAAATTTGGCTCAATTTAGAGTTCACATTCTATCTTCACTGAAGTAAATTTATCTGTTGTCTTCATCAACCGTCGAGTAGTGTCGAATTAGCTTCAGTAACATCAAATAAGCTAGCAACATAACATTTTACTCTGAACAATTACAAAAATCCAATTCATTTAATTTCTTTGAGGTAGATTTATCTGTTGTGCTAGTTTACTGTTGATTATTAGCAACACATTAGCAATATTCGTGATTAGCATCACAGTCCATTACATTTCACATTGGAAAAGAATAGAAATCAAGGTCAACCAAATCAAGGTTGATTGGAAATTTGGCTCAATTTAGAGTTCACATTCTATCTTCACTGAAGTAAATTTATCTGTTGTCTTCATCAACCGTCGAGTAGTGTCGAATTAGCTTCAGTAACATCAAATAAGCTAGCAACATAACATTTTACTCTAAGAAATTAAATGAATTGGATTTTTGTAATTGTTCAGAGGTAGATTTATCTGTTGTGCTAGTTTACTGTTGATTATTAGCAGCACATTAGCAATATTTGTGATTAGCATCACAGTCCATTACATTTCACACTGGAAAAGAATAGAAGGTCAACCAAATCAAGGTCAATTGTAAATGTGGCTCTAATTAGAGTCTGCATACTGTCTTTTCTCATGTAAATTTATCTGTTGTGTTTGTCACAGCAGGAGAATCAACTCAGTAAAGGAAATACATGTACTTTTGTGCTTTTTAGGGGGATTTCTCCCCCCCCCCCCCCCCACCTGTCTCATAAACTGAAAACCCCATTATATTTATAAACAAATTGTAAGGGAACCAGAGGCGAATTAGTCTTTTAGGTTTTAATGTCACATCCGCAAGACTCTGTCTGCACCCTCTAAACTGTACTATTAAATACTAGTCTACAGCATTATTACAATGAATACTAATCGTTGATATTTAGTTGACTATAGAATTCTCATTTTTGGTTTACAGATATTTTATAATCTTTACAGTAACAAAATCAAATGAAACAAAGTCTTTAAATGTACACTATCAGTTATTGTTACACCTTCTGTGATTTCTGTGATATCACGAAAGATCATGAAAGAGCCTTGTTTTGTTGAAAATATGTGCAGTTATTCTTTCACCTCTGCGAGAACCTCATTTAGATCTCCGTCTGATGGTCGCGTGTGTTTCAGAAACTCGTCTTCTCACACTGTCCTTAATTCAGATGGAGCTTCTCTTCTTGGTGTATAATTTATTTATTTATGTGTACTATGTCTACTATCTTTTTGCTGCCTGTAAGATTGTTGAAAGCTGGATACGAGAGGAGTGATTCTCCGCTCTAAGGTTTAAAGTTGCGTGTGTGTGTGTGTTATAGCTTGGTGCAAAAACACATTTCTATAACCAGTCTCAATATTTACAACATAACCGGTGCTTCCTCAGAAGGTCATTCCAACTAACTTGTTTGAGAACTTCTCTCTTTCTGTCATTTTAGCTGACTGTAATACAGCCTTCTGGTGTGCTGTTGGATTTGTTTGGGTGTTTTGGAACACCCAAATTATGCAAGGACCATTTACCTTTCTAACACATTGCTACAACAGTTACATTGCTTTCAGCCTTATTTTACACATTTTTAACAATGTTCGGTGCATTACAGCACAAAGTGATTTTTAACGTGTTTTAAGAATGTTAAAGGGAGAGTTCAACCAAAAAGAAAAATATAATCATCATTTACTTTCTCTGATGTTGTTCTAATGCTGTGTAGTTTTATTTAAGTGAATAGTGACCAGCATTAAGATTTTGAATAAATATGCACAAATACAGTTGAAGTTAGAATTATTAGCCCCCTTCGATTTTTTTTTTTTCTTCTTCTTCTTTTTTAAATATTTTCCAAATGATGTTTAACAGAGCAAGGACATTTTCACAGTATGTCTGATAATATTTTTTCTTCTGGAGAAAGTCTTATTTGTTTTATTTCGGCTAGAATAAAAGCAGTTTTGAATTTTTTTATGAACCATTTTAGAGACAAAATTATTAGCCTCTTTAAGCTATATTTTTTCTTAATAATCTACTGTACATAACAAACCACTTGCCTAATTCGCCAAACCTGCCTAGTTAACTTAATTAATCTAGTTGAGCCTTTAATGTCACTTTAAGTGTCTTGAAAAATATGTAGTCATATTATTTTCAGTCATCATGGTAAAGATAAAACCAATCAGTGATTAGAAATGAGTTATTAAAATTATTATGTTTAGAAATGTATTGAAAAAATCTTCTCTCCGTTAAACAGAAATTGGGGAAAAAATAAACAAGCTGTCTAATAACTTAGGGGGGGGGCTAATAATTCTGACTTCAACTGTATATTGTGCCATGTATTTCTAGTGTTCTTGTGGTTTACAATAGGTTTTGTTGAACAGCACACTGAAATTTGAAGGTGCAGTAGGTGATCTGCCAAGGTGACAGTAGACAACCTACTAGATCATGTCGTTCGCCAGTTAGAAAACCTTATAGTTCTATATAATAATATATTTCCCAAAGAAGAACTGTATTGTATCTAGCACATTTTTTGTTGAGTAGCAAGCAAAACTCGTCATAATGTGCAATATTTCAGGCATGCAAGGATTGTTGGTCACTCTCTCACATGCTTTGTCCTAAAGCAACTACTGTATGCTTGGTGGTCGGCCGGCGTTGTGCAGGAATTACACTTATTACTAAGGCTTACTTACATGCTAATTCAGAGCGAATATTCAGAGTCGCAGGGTAAACAATATAGGGGGCGCATCGCAGGTTGTCATTGTTTAAAAATAAACCATTGTGATGTGAATATAAAACCAACTTCAGCTCAGTAAAGCTAGCTAGGCAGAATACTGCTATTTACTGATGTTTTGTTGTGTAAACTAAGTAAAAATTTACATCATCTATGCTGTAAAAGGTCCATTATGAAACTGAAAATAGTCACAATCTTTCGCAGGAAAATTTCAGTGGCTGAACAACACTTCTGTGCATATAGCCATTTGTAACAACAAAACCTACATAAGCTTTATGTGGCTAAAATAATTTTAAAACCCAACATTACTCGTCTAAAAGAAATACTTTAGCCATGGTGTCATCCTTCCTCCAGCTTGCAAAAGTAACTCAAATATTGATTCAGGATTTTAAAATGTTTTGATTCAGCACTCGTTTTGCTCTCTTACTCCCTCTCTCATGTGCATACCCTGCTAAAAAATCCAGACCAGGCTGGTTTTAGAGGGGTTTTGGCCATTTCCAGGCTGGTTTCCAGCCATTTCCAGCCTGGTCTTAGCTGGTCAGGCTGGAAAATGACCAGCTAAATCCAGCGAAATCAGCCAGGCTGGTCAAGCTGGTTTTAGTTGGTCATCTCCCAGCCTGATCAGCTCAGATCAGACTGGAAATGGCTGGAAACCAGCCTGGAAATGGCCAAAACCGCCTCTAAAACCAGCCTGGTCGACCAGCTAAAACCAGCCAACCAGCCTAGGTTGGTTTAAGCTGTTTTTTTTCAGTATAGGGTATGAGTGCGCGTGCACGCGATAATGGTGGATCTACGTGAACAGAGGTGCGCAGTTGTATAAATCTGCATTTGCTGACAGTTTGGGGTATTTCTCAGAATTATGAGAATTATTGGCTCAACAGTAATTGGATGAACATTTTTTTTGTTTGTTTTATGCCTTACTAAAAATAGGAAAATACATATAAACACATTTAGATCATTTACTTTAATCGTTACTATTGGACTGTAAAGAGACTTTCAAGCAGCACAACAACAAAAAAAATGTTTCTGAAGACAATCACCTACTGCACCTTTAATGTGTTATTTAGTGCTACGTTAGCATTATTAGCAGCACAGCTCAATCTGACTCTTCCTAAAAAGCTCAAGAAATCAAGTTTAGTAGATATTGTTTCACAAAACACAATGTTTTACACAAACAGTTTTTTGCTAAGGTAAAAGTATCTTTTGTGTTTATTGATTGTCAACTATTTGAGCCATATTAGCGTTATTACATTAGCGTTATTAGCTAAAGTACACTGAAAATTATTAGGAAAACCACACGAGGTGTATAAAGCCAAGATTAATAGAAATGCGAAGCAAAATACAGTACTATAGGGTTTAGTGAACAGAATATTGGTGGATGATTTATATACACTTTGGATTTTAGGGTTGTAAAAAAAAAAAAAAAACATTAATAGAAATGTTAAACAATTCATAGGCTTTTGTCCTCTGAGGTAAATGTGTCTATTGTGTTCATTGATTTGTCAGCTATTTTAGCCACATTTGTGCTATTAGTGCTAAATTTCACTCCAACTCGCATTAAAAGATCTCACATTTGTCAAGATTAATAGAACCACAACACAAAATACAATGTACTTCCTTCTCTGAGGTAAATGTGTATGTTGTGACCACTGGATGTCAACCGTTAGAGCTACATTAGCACAAATTAGCAATATTAGCTGTTTGTGCTAAATTGTAGTCTGACTTGCACAGAAACACATCACACAACTTGTGCAAAAACAAGATTATATAAAACATGACACAAAATGCAATTCAGGCTTTCTTTTTCTGAGGTAAAGATATCTGTTGTGTTCATAGATTGTCAGTTATTCGTTCTGTTAGCTATTAGAGCTAAAAATGACCCTTATGTCATTATGATAATGTCTCATGTTTGCGTACAAACACCAACGGTCTAGGTTGGGATTTTTATGTATTATGGATTTTATTTTCACTCAACCATATCACAACCCCCCAGAACACTTAGACCACAGGTGTCAAACTCCGTTCCAAAAGGGCCGCAGCTCTGCACAGTTTAGTTCCAACCCTAATTAAACACACCTGATCAAACTAATTGGGTCCTTCAGGCTCGGTTGAAACCTACAGGTAAGTGTGTTGGAGCAGGGTTGGAACTAAACTGTGCAGGGCTTCGGCCCTCCACGGATTGAGTTTGACAACCCTGACTTAGACCATCTTTTTTATTACTGCTGATTTTATACAAAAAGATTTAAAAATGAAAATCTTCTAGTCCAAAAAGATGCAGACAGTGTTGGAATAACACCAGGGTGACTAAATTTAATCATTATTAAATTATTAATTGAATTATTAGTAGTTAAGTTTTTATTTTTATTTTTTTGGTTGAACTATCCTTTTAAGTGACAGTATTTGGGACCTAAAGTGAAATCTTAGTGCTGCGTGAATAGTGGACATTTATATTTAACAGAGTGCTGTAATTTTGTAGCACAACATTAACTTCCATCATGAGGAGGAATCCATTACTACAACACTTTATTTTTTGTTCTTTAATAGATGTTATCCAGACATTCAACACTCAGAAATGTGGGATAATGATTGTTTGAGAATCCAAAGTCAATGCAACTGAGAAAGTGTGCAGTTTGCCTCAAAATCTCTTCCCTTTCACGCCGACAGTGCTTGCAGTGGTGTCAAATCCTCATCTCTGAAACACTTTGATCCTTAAATAGTTTCTTGTAATGTTCTCAAAAACAGAATAAGACCTATAATGAAGACCTGTCTCATCCTGTGCTGTTTTATTTATCTGTCACTCATAAAGGTTTCTATGGAAGTAACATATGTGTATACATATTTGTGACATACAGTAATTATGTAAAAAAAAAATAAGCATTTAACATTTTCTTTGGTCAATATTCATGTTATTATTAACATTTAAACATCATTGATGTTAATTCTGGTTTTGATAAATGGACATTTTGTTAACTCAAGCTGTCGACTATGATGAAAGCGTATTTTCTGTTGAGATTTGCAGGTTTCGATTGGTCTAAATAATAACATGTTGATGTTATTCAAAGCTTCAGTTGTTTTGAAGGGATTGATCTGAAAAGAATAGCTAGTTTTTCGGAATTATAATGTCTTTTTCAATGTTTATTTTTCTTTTTTATATCCATCGTTTTGTGTTTTTAAATACAAAAAAGATGTTTGGAAAAAAATGCATATAATCTTTAATCATCATGCTGCAAAGCGCACCATTTTGTTACGTTTTTATTTAAGAGTCTTTTTTTCTTTTTTTCTTTTTTGAGATCTGTATTTTGATTGGATATTTTTGTTAACTAGACTGTTTTCATATTGTATTTTTCTAACATTACTTCCTGTTCATGTTAGTAGTACAAATTTAGAAAGTGGTGCAATGCACTGAAACTATTATAAATATATGAATATAAATCTCTATAGAGTGCAGAATGTGCTATATTCTTGGACCAGCCATTGCAGCTCCTGTTAGTAGAAACAGCAGATATTGTTTTGTTCCATGTTCTTAAAGATGTTTAATAAGATGTTTCTGAGCAAATCAAAAATGTGTGTTGTCTTTTTTTGAATTTTAAAAATTTTGAATTTGTGTATCAATGGTTTCCCCCTACAAAACAGGATATATTCGTTCGTTCATTCATTCATTCAATTATTCATATACAACATCTCTGTCTGGTTCTTAAATCTGATTGGCTGATAGCAATTCAATATTCTGCAATATCAGAACTTGTACAGCCTCCTCACTCTTGGGGATTACTCTGCCCACATAGAGTGACAGCAGATTAGTAAACTCATTACAGTTTGACAAATACTGCAGCTGTTGGACAACATAATGCTTTTGAGGCTTTTCAGGTGAGAATGTAGTTGTTTAGGCTAAAACTATGCAGTTTTTTTTTTTTTTTTTAAGGATAGTGCCTATTTTATTTATTTTTAATTTTAGAGATGCAGCACGTAGACATCCATCAGCCTGTCATACTGAGCAAAGCAAAAACTGTTGACCTTCTGCCACAAGGTGGCGACAGAGACTGCATAATAAGCTAATAGTAGAGAAAATCTCAGTGTAATTTCTAACTACAGCTGATCAAATCATTATGAAACAGGTAAGTGACATTCTGAGTTTATATTTCTCTTTTGTATGTTTTTGTGCTGCATTTATACCATAGTAATCTGATAGTGTTTGCCTTGCTTTGGCTTTTTCTAGGTTTATATATTGTAATATCCCGATTGAAACAAAGGAATATTGGGAAATGTCTCTAGACTTATGGCATTTCATGCCATTTATCCTTCTAATCTTAAAATGTGAGCAAAATCACCTGTTCTGTCACCATTTTAGATATTAGAATCAGTCAAATACTAGCTCTAAAAGGACGTTTGAGAAGTAGTAATGGTTTCTACTGGTCTGTCAGCTGCAGATGTTAACAAATGGCAGAAGAAAGTAGTTCCTCTTACAAAAAGATTTTGAGAAATTCCGTGTTTAATTTTCTTTTTTATATACACAATTATGCCGTCAAATTGTTTTATAAACGCAATATCACACGAGTAGCAGTGGCATATGACTGTATATAGTCACTGGTGGGACACTAAGGCACTTGGCCTGTGGCCTTGTGTCAAGGCACGCCTCCGACCAATGCCGATATACAGCCATATCGCACTGCTACAATGTGATATTGCTCCTTTATAAATGAATCAATGCACTTCCAGGTTTATATCAGGTACGTTCAAATTTGTAAGGATTATTGTTGTTTTAATATTTTTATTTATTTATTATTATGATTATTGTTATTATTATTAATAATTATTATTAGTAGTAGTACATTTTATTTTTTATTTACTAAAACAATTTATATCAGGGATTTTACAGTTGGAAACAGTTGTTGTTGCTGTTATTTTTATTATAATTATTTATTATTATAAAGCTAATTCTAAAGTAATAGTTTTTCTTTTTCAAAACATTTAAAAACATTGTTTTGTAGTTAATAATAATTAATTAGAATAATATTTATTTATTTTATATTTTATTTTTGTTTTTTACAAAAACAGAATATACATCAGGACTTGCAATTAAAAGTGTTTTTGTTTTTTATTATAATATTAATATAAAGGTCATTCACAGTTGATTTTTAAACATTTGTAACCTTATTGTTTTGTTGTTATTAATAATTTTAATAATATTCATGTTTGTATTGTAATATTTATTTTATTTACTAAAACAGTATACATCAGGAATTTTAAAAATGGAAGGAGCCTTAATTGTATTATCATTGTAATGATTAATTATAAAGATACATTTTTAGTATTTTTTTCGAAACATCTAAAAACATGTTTTTAGATATTAAATAATAATATAGTATTAATAACTTTCATTTTGTATTATTGTTAAATTCTATTTTTTATTAAAACTATACATCAGGAATTTTACAATTTAGTCTTAATAGTTTTTCATTATTATAATGATTAATTATTTAAATTATTAAATTATTATCACTAGTTATTATTTTTAATACATTTCAACACAGTTTTGTTGTTAATAATTATAATAATGATAGTTGTTGGTTTGTCAGTTATATAATGTTGTTTATTATTAATATCCTTATTAAATCATTATTTTAAGAGTTATTTTAATCTAAATTACATTAATTTGGCCTTTTCCATTCATAAATTCAAGATTAGTTCAATGTCTTTGCAAAGGAATACTTTAAATAAAAAAGTCTTTCTAGAAATATGATAGCCTAGGGATAACAAAATGTTGTTTTTTCTTTTAGTCTGATCTGGTTAGCTCATTACAAATATCAGGTTACACATATCTGTTCTTCACCTCTGCTTCTTCCTGTGTGTGTGGGCCATAACTGTGAGTTAACATGGTTACATGGTCATCTCAAGCAAACTCTATAAACAGATACCTTAAAGAGCAGTTAGAGATGATGCAGAGAGACGAAAAGCAAAAGAGTCAAAACACCTGCTGTTTAATTGCCTAATGATAAGTCATATTCATGCCTACAGGATGTGTCTAATTATGATGGTGAAATGAAACACTGGGAAAAAAAATAATGAGCTTAATTTATAAAGTGTAATGTACTTTGCATGACTATCAGTTTTTGTTAGACTTCAGTGCTTTTTAGCCTGTGAAAACCCCTGTGTGTCTGGACAGATGGGTGTTCATAGCGGGTAGCAGATTACAGAAGATTAAGATCATCTCAGTCATTGCCAGCTGAGGTTTGCTCATTTTGTGACCCGTGATGATCTAATCCTCAGTCTCAGTGTCATTAACCCTCAAACCACACTCTCCACATGTGTTTCGGTCCTTGACCGGCCTGAAGAAACAAACCACATCAATATTATCGATATTATCACATTTACATTTAGTCATTTAGCAGATGCTTTTGTCCAAAGTGATTTACAATTGCGGAGACATTCAGTAATTCAATAAGAAGAGGCAATACACAAAACTTGTGCTAATTATATAAAGAAACTGTTTGTGCTAAGAGAATTTAGTGCTTGAGTAAGGGCGGTGTTTTTTTTTTCCATTGTCATTCATTTTCTTTTCGGCTTAGTCCCTTTATTGATCTGTGGTCGCCACAGCGGAATGAACCGCCAACTTATCCAGTATATGTTTTACGCAGCAGATGCCTACCCAGCTGCCACCCATCACTGGGAAACACCCATACACTCTCATTCACACACATACACTACGGACAATTAGCTTACCCAATTCACCTACAGTAGATGTCTTTGGACTATGGGGGAAACCGGAGGAAACCCACTCGAACTAGGGGAGAACATGCAAACTCCACACAGAAACGCCAACTGATCCAGCCGGGGCTCGAATCAGCGACCTTCTTGTTGTGAGGTGACAGTGGGGTGACATATGTATATATGTATATATATTTATATATATATATAAAAAAAAAAAAAAAATATATATATATATATATATATATATATATATATATATATATATATATATATATATATATAATATAACAATCTATAAGTTGGGAAGGGTGGCACGGTGAATCAGTGGTTAGCGCTATTGTATCACAGCAAAAAGATTGCTGGTTCGAGTCCTGGCTGGGCCAGTTGGCATTTCTGTGTGGAGTTTGCATGTTGGCGTGGGTTTCCCCATCCAAAGACATGAGCTATAAGTGAATTGGATAAACAAAATTTGCCTTAGTGTATGAGAGCATGTGTGAACGCGACTGTGTGTTTCCCAGTACTGGGTTGCAGCTGGAAGGGCATCCGTTGTGTAAAACCTATGCTTGAACAGTTGGCGGTTCATTCCGTAGTTGCGACCCCTGATAAATAAGGGACTAAGCTGAAATAAAATAAATTAATGAATAATCTGCAGAACAGATAACTTCAATTATTAATCATTTTGATGAATCATGTTTTATTGTGCATTAAAAAGTTCATTTGACAGGAATAAAACTAAACATTTTTTATAAAAATGACCAATAATTTATGATTTTACAAATAAACTCTTCAAAGCAATTACTCAAGCTATTATAAAGTGCTCACGACAGCATTATCCCACGTGTGTCTTTATGGCGATACATTACTTTATGAGCACATGTCTGCTCCAGCGGGCCATTGTTTTGGGGATTCCCCACTGGACGCATATGCTCCCCGTCTCCAAAGGAGCAGAGCGAACAAAGGGTCGTCGGAGCGCGCGCTGATTGGCTGTCAGGGGTCTGGAGGAGCAGATGGGTATTCCTGATCAACGCCCCCCTCCAAAACTGCGATTGTTCCCGATGATATGAATACCAGCTCGGTCCGAGTTGGACTGAGTACAGCTGTAGATCGCTTCACATCGTCACGGATAGTGTAATTGTCTATTTTCGTGTCGCCAGGAGATATACAACCACAGATACAATCAAAACATTTCCAAATCTGATCTGAGAGACGAGCATCTGGAGAGAGGAGATCCACGCGAGACTGTGAGTGTTCGTGTGTTCAGTTTTCGGGTGTTGTTTGTTAGTCACGACTTGTTCTGATTCAGATGCTGGCGTGTCAGTGTTCGTGTTATTGTGACGCGTTTGCAACTTTGTGTCATAATGTGTAATTTGAGCAGTTGTGTATTGAGAATGTCTTACTGGAAATGTAATTTAATATTCAGGCTTCAGATTACAAAAGCATCTGTAGACTCTTGTCAAATGATGGCACAGTGTGTTAAAGTTGTTTATGTCACTTATGTTAACTGTGTGTTTGTTTCCATGGGAAAGTAGCTTAAATATGTTTTCAGATGACTTGCCAGTCATTATATCTGGCTAGATTACATAACGAGTCTGGTTTACTTCAACTAAAATTGAATATTTCTGTCAGCATTTAAATATGCTGGTGTTGTTTTGAACTTATATGACTTTGTTACAATGTAACACACAAATGTTCATGCTTTCTTTCATTCTGTATAGTAAAAACGCACTACTGTTCAAAACTATATTTTCTGAATAAAATTTTCACAGTCTTTACAAAAAAATAAGCTAATAATAAATAATAGTAAGGAATGTTTCAGGTGTAAAATCAAAGGGATGCTGTTTAAAATACAATAATTGAAAAGAGTTATTCTTTTGATATTACTGTTTTTGCTTGAAACATAAAAGACTTGTCAGAAGCAATAAACAGACAATAATAATACCTGTCCCAACCATGTGACTTTGCCTCAGCTTGACCAACAGCCATTTGCGACTGGATTTAAGACTAATTGGTAAGTTACTTCATATTCAAAATATGCTAAGTAACAAGTTTTGCAAATTACCACAGACACGTACTGTAGACGAGCATATAGTGCTAGAAATAGTAAATCTTTCGCTGCTGATGGGCTGTCGTAAATATCAGATCAAATATCCAATCAGATATGAGGACTGGGACAGATTGTTATACAAAATTAGCAGAGTATGTTTTTGCAGTGCAAAAAAATGTAATTTTTCAAGTTTTCGTGAACCATGTAAAAAAAAAAAAAAACTGGGTCTTTGGTCTTGTTTTAGAAAAAGACCAAATATTTAAAATCAGAATGAGTTATAGATGCTTGTTATTGTCATGGAATAAAAAAAAAATTATACTGGGACTTCACAGTTCTGATTTTTAATTTTTAAATTTTTTTTGTAAGAATTTAAAGTCTTTTTCTTGTAATTGTAAGTTAATATTTCACAAAAACTTAATTTTTATTTTTCGTGTTTGTATCTTGCAACATTGCAACATTGTAACATTTTTAATAGATTTTTTTAAATCACGTTTGTATCTCACCGTTAAAAGCTAACACTTCACAGTATTGTGATTTTTATATTTTGCAGATGCAAGTTAATTTTTTTATTATACAGATTTTATTGATTGTTAATTTGTATCTTGCATTTGCAAGCCAACATTTTATTTAAGTGAAGTTTTACAAACTAATGTCGAGAGGAGCATGTGATATGATTGATCGTGGCTGGCAGCATGTCAAACCTACTATTAGTGTCAAGCAGCAATATCAAGCAATGTCAAGCATACCTGCCAACACTCCCATTTTTCCCTGGAGTCTCCCGTGTTTCAAACCCATCTCCCGCCCATCTCCCACATTGTTCTCGTATTTCCCGTATTGTAAAACTCCCGGAATTACACCACCCGGAAAATTGGAGGTTTAAATTTAACAAATTTGAGTTTCTCTTCTGAAATTCTAAGAAATAAAGTCACAAATAGGGCTGGGCGATATTACCAAAAAACTAATCATGATATCATGTTTCATATCATTCTGTATCGACAATTATTAAAGGTTTTTAACAATACAATTAGGAATAGTAGGAATTTTTTATTTAATCAATTTTAATTTACCAACATTACTAAGCCAAATTGTTTTAATAGTCAAAAACAAAAAATATTTACACAAAATTGTGTTAAAAAGTGTTACAGAGACTCTTAAAGTTGATAAATAAAATGTTACAAAGTGTGTGCAATGTTAAATGTAGATCAATCATACTATCCTAATCATACAGTAAACCTCAAACTTTGTCAACAAAACAAATTATGATAATCAAATCTGAGCTTTCAAGTAAATGCACTAACCATCATTATTTAAATACATACTGCAACATTACAAGTTGTGAAGGCAAATGACTATATTACCCCATGCTAAGTCTTTTAGATGGGGCGCTAATAGCTAGGATGCACAAGAAAAGAAACCAAAAAGCCTCTTTGGCGACATCCTTACATCCTTTTATATTTACAATCTCCTCACTGCTGCTATACAGCACACATTTTTACAAGTGTAGTTATTCTGACCTGAACTGGTTTCCTTCACTATTTTCCATGCGCTTTTCGCTTACTCTCCCCTGGCATCTCTCGTAACTAGGCGACCATCAAATGTTTTCTCAGAGGATGATAAACGATTTTACTATTGTTACTGAAATGTGTATATGCCATACAACGTGTAAAGTAGATTGGGTAGTTCTATTTGCATAAATTGTGGTACACTCGCGGAATTCGTAAAAGTTCAGATGTTTTTCAACGAGGTGCGCCTGGTAAATGCGTATGCGTCATGTTCGTGTCGCTCCCATGTGTGAGTTGTGCAAGTTGCATGCCTCCATTGGAAATGACTTACACCCTAAGCTTATTTGCTCAGCCTCTAAGGTGTGCACTCAGCAGCCACATTTTAATAAATCTATAGCACTTTATAGCAAAACTTCATACCAAATCTTTTTTTAAAATCATTTTTGACAATGGTGTTCGGTCAATAAATACTCATAGCAATTGTGAAATAGAATATTATCTGCAAGAGAGTGAGGTTTGTGAGTTGAATCCTCCCAACCAAACTCCTAAACCCAACCTAGGGCTGTTCAATTAATCAAAAATTTGGTTTCGATTTCGATGTTGGTTTTTAGCAATTATGAAAAACATTAATTAAAATGAAACAAGTTTTGCATCATATACCGCCCCCTTTCAAGTTGTACACATTTGTTGCTTTCCAAAGCTCAGTTTCACGTGAAAATGACTAAAAGCATGTACTCTAACGTAGATTTTGCAGCACGGGATGTGCATTGTTCATTGATGTACATTAGAATCATTCATGTTTTTAAAAGCGCGAAAGAGGTCACATGCTGTTGTGTGCATGCGAGCTCAGCCTCAGAGACGAGCAGAGCACACACATCTAAAGTTATCTTAATGTGAGCGCTTTAATGGCCAAATAGGTGTCAAAACGCGGTGTTTAGTGATTATTCATATTAACCCTTATTTGTGAAGTAAACAAAACAGTTGATAATCAAAATACATATGAAAGAGAAACCATTATCAGAACCGTACTGCTCCGCAAAGTGACAGCGCGCAATATTCTTGCTGCAGACTGCTTTTAATTAATAATCAAACAACAAAAGGATAAAGTCACTCACTGCTCTTGACTGAAGGACTGTTGTAGCTAAAGTTTTCTTACAGTGAAGATGCTTAAAGCACAGTTTGTTTCATATTTTTTTATTCTATTTTATTTATTTCCCTTTCCTTATTTACAGGAGGAAAATAATATATACAGTAGAAGACAGAATTATTAGCCCTCCTGAATTATTATAAGCTGAATTATTATTAGCGGCCCTTTTACCCCCCAATTTTATTTTTTTTTAATGAAAAGACCCATTTCCAACCCATTTCTAAACAATAGTTTTAATAACTTGTTTCTAACAACTGATTTTTTTATCTTTGCTTTGATGACAGTACATAATTTCTTACTAAATATGTTTCAAAAAACAAGCATTCAGAATAAAGTACGATTCCAAGGCTTAATTTGTGTAATTATGCAAGTCATTGTTTAACAGTAGTTTCTTCTGAAGACAATCAAAAATATATATTGCTTAAGGGGGCTAATAATATTGACCTTAAAATAGGTTTCAAAATATTTAAACCTGCTTTTATTCTAGCCAAAATAAAATAAATAACACTTTCGGTAGAAGAAAAAATATTATAGGAAATACTGTGGAAAATTCCTTGCTCTGTTAAACAGTAAAAATTGAAAAAAATTCACAGGAGGGCGAATAATTTTGACTTCAACTGATAATCATTTTGAATAATCGTGATTACAATTATGACCAAAATAATTGTGATTATGATTTTTCCCATAATCGAGCTGCCCTAACTCAACTGTCATCAGGGGATGAGTAAATCAAACCAAATTGTAAGAATAAGAGCGTACGAATTCATACAAATTAGCCACTAAATCAAAAAGTTATGAATTGCTGTGAGATTGTGTTGGACTGGCAGTAACTGTTAAGTATTTAAGTGTAAGTAAGTTTCTTTACCAGGGAAACATCTCGAAGGAGTTAAGTTTGAAACAGTTTTCTAATCTAAACAGTTTTTTTCTAAGCTAAACAATCAGTCAAACATCTAAAATCGTTTGTTTATAAGAAAATGTGCGTGCTTTAGCAGTTCTAGCTAAGTTAATCATTACCCGACTACCCCTAGTGCCTTAGATGCAAGTGAAGATCCCAGTCAGATGTGGGGGCGTAAAAAATTTCCATGCAGCAGATTATGAAGTAGCCGTGTTTTGTCTTCTGTGTCATATTTCACAACTTGTGCTTCAGCCATCGGTAAACACTCCGACAACTGCGGCAGTGCAAGCTGCTAAACACATGAAGCAAAGGAAGGAAGAAGAAAGGGAAGAGGGGCCAAACAGTGACTTTCAGCATTGTTGGACGAAGCGTGTTGTTGGTTCACAAGTGTTTTTCAGGTTGCCTTGGCGATTTTAACAATAGTAGAGCATTAGCTATAGCGTTTGTGAAGAGATGCTGCATGGGGGAGGTGAACGAATGCTGTGCTTGTGTGTATGTGTGTGTGAGAGAGAGAGTGTGAGTGTGGTTGGTCTTGGTATTCATCTCGTGGGTAACACATGTCCGCACAAACATAGCAATACCAGACATTTTTGACCTTGTGAGGACATTTTTTGTTCCTCATGCAGAAAACGGTTCATAAATCACACAGGAAA